TTACGGATAAGTAACATACTAATTGACCATGTAAATTCTTATGTATACCTCTGTGTAAGGCCACAGAAATTAAGGCGAGAATAGAAGGAGCTAGAGCAGCATTTAGCAATATGAAAAAGCTCCTTATAGGAGCTTTTTAAAAGCTCACGAGAAAAGATTGTCTAGGAAAAAATAGACAGTAAGCGAAGGCCAGGCAGGAGAAGACACTCGTGGCTCCAAAATCTGCGGAAGTGGTCCGGGCTTACATCGGTCGACTATTCAAAAGCGCTGCAAACAAGATCAGAATTGCCATGTTAATAGCCAACGTTCGCAACGGACAGGGCACTTAAAGAAGAAGAAGAATTCTAAAATTTCCAATATAATGATGATTACATACTTCTGATTACATAGCACACTACCACCTAGCATTGAAACTTCCGTGTTGAGGAGTAAAACAATGATTGGCGCATCACCTAGTGACCGGGCGCCTAACTATAAATACATGGCGCGAAATTCAAAATTTTTGTAATATTACTTAGGATTGTGAACTCATTTTAAAGTAAAGGAAAATCGATATAATCTTAAAATAACAAGAAAAATCCTTATCCTATACGATAATAAATATTTTTCGTATACTTTTTGGGTTTTCTTGTTATGTTGAGACTATATTTATTTTACATTACATTAAAATGCCAAAGTGGTCAAAAAATTAAAGAATAAAATATAGAATAAAATCTTTATTTATAAAAATATTACAAGAAATGTTATATGTGTTACAAGAAATATTAATAATACAAGCCAAGTGTACTATAATTTAGTTTTCTTAATGTTGTGGCAAGAACTGGTCAGTATTTAAATAATTGTTTTGTCTTAGTATGTCAAGTTTTATGTAAATAGAAGCCTAATTCTGCAAAAGGCCTTTTACTACAATTTTATTCTCAAAATTTGCAAAGAATTCAAACATTGGTATATAACATTCAAGATATTTTTAGAAAGCAATGAATCTAAAGATAAATCCCTAGAAGACAAAATAAGTACATGCTTGTAATAAATTTAGTCTATAATTACATAAGCGAAGCAATCAATGGGGAAAACCAATTGCTTTTTTCACACATACTCTCACAGATTCAGAATGAAAACATGCAAATGCATTGAAGTATTAAAAAAATGCAGACATTATCTGGTAGGAAAGCAATTCAAACCAATCACAGATTAAATCACTATTTTGTTTATATAGAATGCTGGCATATATAAAATCTGACAAGGAGAACTAGCTTTACTTCACAAGAATTTATTAATTATCTCCACTCTAAAGGAATATTTCAAGTAGAACAACACCATATAACCATGAAGGAAATGGTTAAGTTAAAAGATACAATGAGTTATATAGAAATTGGTGAATCTAGCATTGAAAACCAAATATTTAGACATCACTAAATGAAAAACTGCTTTACCAGGAGCTCTGTACTATATAAGAAGTTTACTATTGAATTGTTATATTATTGAATCACGATAATGATGAAGATGAAGTCCAAATAACACATTAGAGAATTCCACTACTAAATCAATGCCAGATGTGACAGAAAATTTACCTGTTCAAAAACCTGATGATAATTATGAACCAAGATTGGAAAATTCAGATTTTCAATCTAGCTGTAAATCAGCTGGAGCTAAAAATAAACCAAGATAGTTGCAATATTTTGTTCACAAATAGGGAAGGGTAAATGTAGTATAATTTAGTGTTCTAAATCTTGTGACAAGAACTTGTCAGTAATTAAATAATTTTTTTGGAATTCTAATGTCAAATTAAAGCCTAATAAGCAACAGACAGCTGTCAGACATTCTGAGTTCTTTGTAGTACTTACATCCTAATCTAATAACACACACTACCAGTGGTCAGTGAGAACTCTTACTGTCTGGCGTTCTACTCACAGAAAAACAGAACTCAAGAACTCTGCTAAGTTGGAAACAGAAAAATTAAATGATTTAGTTCTAGAAAGAACTTTATATACATTTATATGATAATATTTTAGTCATATTTAAACCTATAAACCCAACAATTAGCTCTAAGATTCTAAGATCCAGCACTATAAAGATGGAAAAATAACATTAAAAATAAAAAAATATGTAAAGTATTACCTAGTTACAATAATAATATGAAGTATTTTACAAAGTTACGTTTCCAAACTCTATCTTACCAGTAACTCTTTTCTACTAATATTTATATATTTATTGAGAGACATATTAAATACATTTAGATTTAGGTTGTTCTTTTGATTAAAAGTACATAGATGAGACAAACCATGATAATATATGGTACTCTAAGACCAATCTCACTCACAAGAGAGAGACAGATCCCTCCTCGCACTTAACGGCAAGCTCATGGACCGCTCCATATGATAGTGTAGTCATGGTCTGCTAATCTAATCCAACTTTGAAACAGGCACACCTGTAGAAATTATGTCGAACCCTCTCTAAGGTGATGATTTTTTAAGATAGTTGTTGAACCACCACCTACAAAATAATTCAAATAGTAAGCAAGTAAGTCTGATTTTATAATTAGGTTAAATTTATAATATAATAAATATAATAATAAAATATAACTAATTTTATAAGTAAAAGGTCACATACATACATATATTGGCATAATAGTTCTTACCTGGTGCTGGTAAAAACAAACTCAGAAGGGCTGTTCTCGTAATACCGGTATGTCCAACATAAATTATATCATCCTCTTTAAAATGACTAGCGCATACACGAAAATTGTTATAAATAGTTTCTGTTGCAGCATTCTCTAATTAGGGCTTTTAGCAGCATTCACCCATTTATCAAACATATCCATATTATAATCTCCTGGACTTGAAAAACGGTATTGCTTGCCAGCCAGCGGTAGTGTGCTTGCCTAGTATCCATGCAATCTGGAATACATCTTTTTTGTTCAGTTCTTCGTCACTATATTGTTATTCCATGTAATGTGTTCGATTCCATAATAAAAAATCGTCTAAAATTTTACCTTTTTGCACTACTTATATAAAAAAATTTAAACTATAAAATAAATTATAAAAAATAAAACAAATAAAAATATGGCGCCGTATTTGTCTAAATTCAACTTTTGATTTGACCGTGATTTGACCACAGCACACTCCCTACGCGTAGAAACGAGACTAGCAGCGCCACCAAACGAATGGGCGCCTAAATCCGAACGTGATTTGACATTGCTTATCCCTGTTACCAATCTATAAATTTTATCTATGTTCTGATTATTACACCATGTTGACGCTTATGAAAGATGGAGCAGTTCCGTATGGGTTTCGTATATTAGCTGTGTTAGGAAAACTTAGGTTGATGTTCTGGAAATTTTAAATAGAAGTGACGTCACTTAGTATAAATCGTGACGTACAAGTGTTTTACTTTAAAAAATGGTAGGTATATCTGATTACCATTATAAAGTGAATAAAATAGATTGTGTAATATTTGTACTAGAAATGGGTGGATAATTTAGAAAATGTACTTTTGTACTCGTATGCTAAAAGTGTACTAGAAATAGTACAATTATTATTGTACTAGACCGGCAGCCTTGAGTATAAATAAAAACTTTTCAATCTCAATCTTTTAAATTACAGGTGATAAGTTACGGATAGATTATAATGGTCCAGTCAAAACCACAGAACCCGATCTAAACAAGAGGACGTTTCATCGCAGCCGCCATATTTTTCGTGTAGAATGCTGGGTGTGGCATGAGATTTGCAGGTGTTCGGTGCCTAGACACAGAAAAATAAACAATCAGAATGCCCACAGAATGGTAAACAATCAGAATGCCCATAGAATGATAAACAATCAGAATGTCCACTCTGCTTGAAAAAATAAGTACGCGCATCTCGTTCACGCAGACAGAATCAGCCATGTTTTAAACGGAACAAGTACTGTTCAGTGATATTTAGGTCAACTACCACAGCCACCTTTACTTCCAGGTGGCTGTGCAACTACAGACATAATATGCACTATTTTATTGGTACTTTTAGTTGAATAATAAATTAAATTATTTTAAATACACTAAATTATTAAACTCAAAAAATTTAAATTACAGTTCTGTCGTAGCTTGTCACAAATTTCTTAATTCGAGTCTATGTTTCTGTCTAAAATATGGCGGTAGCGTGCTGACAAACTTCAAATATGGCATCTGAGAGTGGCATTCTGATTGTTATTTATTCTGTGGTGATTCCCACTCTCAGATGGCGCCTTTGAAGTTTGTCAGCAACCGGGTTAATTTGTCTATGCACACCAGACTATGTCACTGAACAGCACTGGTTCCGTTTAAAACATGGCTGTTTTTTTTTAAGCAGAGTGGGTATACTGATTGTTTATTATTCTGTGGCCTAGATGTAAAGTTATGTTTTAGTAAATTTATTTTATTTTTATATATTTACTTACCTTTCAAAGAAATAAAATAAGATTTATATCTTTCAAAACCCTTAGAAAATTGCGATTGCATGATTTATGTTACATGGTTTATCTAGTTCTTATTATAATTGAATCTGTTTTACATGTTAGCAAAATACTTAATAGAAATTTAAAAAAAGATTGCCTAATATTGCAAAAGCCGTCACGTAAAAGAGATGAAAAAATGAATTCCATTTTCAGTGCTTCAGTTGGATGCATTCTTAAAAAGACCAAAAATAAAGAAGAACAGAGATACCAAGTGAAAGAAAATAATCATGTCATCTGTCAATGGCCTGTTAATTTAATATTCTAGAGGTGGGAAAATATGTTTTCCCTTTTCCCATCAAGTTGACAGTAACTGTTTTTTGACAGATTGATTTTTAAAAATATTAATATTGTAATGGTTAATTTTAATATATACTAATTCTGTTTACTAATTGCAAATTTATTTATTTGCCTTATTTTAAATTTTAACAAAGGAAATGAGCTTATATTCGTTTACTGGTAACTTCCTTTCTATTCATATTAATAAAATTTTACCTAGTTGTTTGTATGTTTTAGAATATTTTGATGATATATCAATGTCTCGTCGACGAGGAACAAAAAACAATGACATTAACTATTCGAAATTGCCAACAACAGATCAAGGATTTACAGATGCCCAATTTCAAGCACCAGCTCAACAAATTCCATGGAGGGCTATTGTTCTGGCTACCCTACTTCTTGTAGTGGGTACCACACTTCTAGTATTTGGTAGCATGGTGGTATCTGGACACATAGTTGTTGAATATGCTAGTCGAATGTGGCCTATGATTGTTTTAGGGATTCTAATGTTTATTCCGGGAGCTTACCATGTGAGAATTGCGTATTATGCTTACAAAAAAGTACCTGGGTACTCCTTCGATGATATTCCTGAATTTGAGTAACATTATTAATAGGAGTTGATCACATTTCACAATATTTTAATTAGAGTGACAATGTTAGCATATGAATTTAAAAATTCTTAAAATAGCCTGATATAAAAGGCTCGATTTTTCTAACAGCTAATATTATACCTACTCACTTTAAAGTCTTAGGCAGCTTTTAGACAAAATCAAATAAACAATTGTTTCCCATGTGTTGTTCTTAGGGAAACAAGTATATAAATACATGCTACAGAAGTATTCCAAGTGATCTACATCTTTGTATGTAGTTTTTCCATTGAATATTGAATGTGAGCTACTTATTTGCACCATTGTAATGGTAGAAAATAGATCTCATTAGTGCTTATTTGAAACGTCAGATATTCTGTGTCCATTTTTGCAAATTGCTATTTTATTGATATGTTTGAAAATATGAAAGACTGTTACATGTGTAACCTATCAGATTTTATTTATGAACAGAAAAGATGCACCTAGGTAATGTTTACTCTGCCAATTCTAGTATTTTACAGTGGCTGCAGTATATTGCTGTCAATAAAACAATTGTGTCTACCAAGTTTACATATCTATATCTCTGAACGGACAAGTTCTGAAGTTGTGAAATTCTAACTTTTTTAGTGGCTTGTTATTTTGATATGATATATATATATATATATATATATATATATATATATATATATATATATATATATATATATAATATATATATATATAAATATATATATATATATATATATATATATATATATTTTATATATATAATATATATATATATATATATATATATATATATATATATATATATATATATATATATATAATATATATATATATATATATATATAATATATAAATATATATATATATATATTATATAAAACTGTTTTGGATGGGTTGGAGTCAATAAAAGGGCTATTTGTTGACTATTTTTTACTCAAGCTTTCAATTGTGATTACAATTTTTATCAAGTGCTTCAAATAAAATTAGTTTTTTAAATAAAGCTACTGCTAACATTATTACAAAAAATATTATTAAAAAAATGCCCTATTCTAATAAATGTTTCTCTGAAATAAATTTTGATAAAGTTTCTTAACAAAAACAATTGAATTTGTAAACAAAAATTTAAACAAGAATTTGCCTAACGTTTAAGGAAAGGCAAGTAGTAGCCACAGAAAAGAAAGGGATGGTAATCATCACAAAACCGAAGGACAAGCCCTATGCTGAACTTGTAAAACGGTTAAGGGAAGAGCTAGGGGAAAGAGAGAATGTCGTTATAAACAAGGTTAGACAAACCAGACAAGAAGGTATGGTCCTGGAATTAGATGGAGGCAGGAAAATGCTAAGCCATGAAACTGGATCTTCAGAACCTCTTCCACCATTAGTCTCATCCCAGACGTGCATATAGGCAGTGTTGTTATTAAAACAATGAATGCAAAAGTTGTAGATATAAAGATTTCTCTTACAGTATGCTATTGAAGTTGTGAGTTTGGGGAAAGGTCAAATGTGCAAACATATTTATCCTGCGAGGCTTCCGCGGCATCTTTTTTTCATTTCTGGGGCGCTTGTTCTGCTAACCTTAAGTGCAGTTTTTTTTCTTTAAGTTGGCTATCTTTTTTTCATCAGTTTCAGTACGAATTTTTTGAAATAACTTGTCACAGTTGCTGCAAGTGTACTTAAAAGGAGGTTTAAAGTACAAGTTAAATTTTGGGCTGAAGACTTGGTAGTAATATTTTTCATTCATATGAAATATCCATCTCATAATACAATTAGCCAACGAAAATAATATGTAATAAACTACCAACGGTTGTATCTAAACGATTTAAAGTACGTCAGTCAACACAGTAAACAAACACTACCTGTACTTGTTTCAGTACTGTTCTGAAAGAAAATAACAATCTGCCACTAAACACCAGAACTTTCTGCTTCATAGCGGATATTATCAGAACAAGGACTTGGTTCATTATTACACTAAAGTGATACCTAGTTGGTGCATTGTTAACTCGTAAATAACAAAAAGTTGACTTAATCCACTTGTATTCTGAGCCCTCTATATATATATATATATATAAACTAATGTTGTACTAAAAGAGTTGTTAAAATGTGATTAAATTAAATGAATATATTTATACGTGCCGAAAATGAAGTGCCTTAAAAAATATAAGAACTTATATTTGATAAATTTATTAGATGTAACACAGACAAATAGCTGGACTTTTCCGAAACTTAAAATTGTAAAATTACCCAACATAATTATTTGTTATATTTATTGATTTTAGATTTATAACACTCTTTATTTTCTGACAGTACTAAGTTAAACACATTCTTAAATTTTGTTTTCAAAATTTTTATTATTACTTTACCCTTTTTGTTTTTTACCCTAATATTTAATATGTTAATTATATATTTAAAATATTTAATAACATTGTAAGTTTATTGAGAATATTTAAACCAATTAAAATGTTTTAATTTCCTACTACATTGTCATATGTCATTAAAAAAAGCACTAGGTATAGTCAAAGCAATAATCTTAAAAGGACGCATTTTAGCTCTAGCATGCTTTATTATTTTTAGTTCTAGACAAATGGTTGTTATACTTAAAATAAAACTAGTCAGTTCACAATATATATTTTATTGTGCACATTTTATATATGTATCTTAAATAGTCTAGAGAAAAATAAGATTTATTTGTTTGATATATTTTTGTACCTGTCACTATTAGCAAGTATCTAAAAAATATGCTAAATACATATAATCACTAACTTAAATGCAAGCTATGTATGAATAAAGAACATTAAACAAAATATTTATATATGGTCATTTTTATTTAAAATTTATATTGTAGTTTATAAATACAGGGTGTTTCAAAAAGGTATGTCATAAATTAAATCAAGAATTCCGGGGACAAAAATAAATTGATTGAATCCAACTTACCTTAGTACAAAAGTGTACGCAAAAAAGTTACAGCCCTTTGAATATACAAAATAAAAATTGTTTTTATGCATTATCTCCTGAACTACTTGACATTTTGTAAAAATGGACACGTTACTTTCTTATTCTGAAAGCATTTTTCATCAAAAAGAAACAACAAAATCTAAGCGCATAGAAAAATTTTAAGGTTGGTGTGCAGTCTAAATCCCCCTAAACTTTTGAGTACGTTCAAATCAAATAAATTTTGTGACATCATTAGTATAACACATTATTTTTAGATTTTTTTTGCCTCATCACTTTTTTCAAAAACAGTTTTTATTGAGTTACGGCCCTTTTCATTAACCTTTAAAAAATTACGTGCAACTAAATAAATGGCTTAAATGAATTAACAAGTACAAAAAATGTCTATAACCTCTATAAATATCGCACATCAGCAACAACACTGTCACAAGTCGAAATTCAGTGTTTTTATTTTTGTTGTAATAAATGGGTATTTTGTTAAACTTTCGTTAGCATTACTGTCGAAAAGATATTTTGTCATATAAGCGCTAGATGGCGACTTATGTCTATTATAGCTATAACTATTTTTGTAGAACTCTATTCAGCAATAGTGTAACAGCTCACTTATGACAGTGTTGAAGTAATCTTTAGATATATTTTTTTTCAAATTAAGTGTGCTATACTACTATTATTTACTAATAGCGATATGGCTTGACAACAACACTGTCGCATTATTCTGACAGCCACATTGTGTTGTGTTTTCTGTTTATTAAAAATGTGTTTTTTGTGAATTTGTCATAGAAGAATGACTGATCAGTCAAAAAACATCTATGGAGACAGTTATCAGCAAATAGCTGAGATCTATAGAGATGATAAAACAATTTGTATGGAAAAAAATAAAAGTTATGGGAATGTCACCATGTTCTCAAGAATTTTTAGGAATGCATTTCTCATTTTTCCACCATAAGAAAGATCAGTGCGGTATGTGTGCAGAGTATAAAAATGCAAAGAGTAAGGTCAATTTACAGAAAAATTGTGATCTTCATTTAAAAGAAGATCTGTCACATATTAAAAAAGATAAAGATAAGCAAAGAAGCAAAGCATGTGAGTGTATTACGGTATGTTTTGATTTACAGGCAGTTCTCCACACACCTTGTAGGGACATCAACTCCTTTAACTGTAAATCAAAGTTAAGTATGAATAACTTTACTATATTTAACTTAGGATTATTGAATGGTTTGTGCTGAAATCTCCTACATTTGGCACGAAGGAGAAGGTAACAGTGCATCTAACGAGATAGGATTATGATTATACTTATTTCTTAAAAATGAATGAATGCTCTAAAGGCCTTCCTGTTGTATTTTACAGCGACAATTGCTATGGTGAGAACAAAAACAAATTTACAACCTCGTTACTTCTTTAAATAGTAAGCAAACCCGATATTCCTTTGATTATTTAAACTTTTAGATTGTTGGTCAAAAGCAAAATAAAGGGGACAACATGCACTCCTTGATTGAAAAACAGAAGAAATATCCTATCACAATTTTGTGGTTTTGGAAGGAAAACACCTTTGAGTTTTCAGCAACATAGACACATTTGTTAATAATTAATATGTTAGTTTCAAATTTCTACAATGCAGAATACTAATTGATAAAACAACCTAAATTAATCTTATTGAAGTAAAAATAACAACACTTGCATTCAATTTATAGAAATAATCCAACATTAAATAGTAAGGATAATCTTCATACCCGATTTACTCAAATTGGCAATTTTTGATTTATGACAGTATTGTTCCTGAGCTGCGATATGATATTACAATAAATGTTTAAAATGACCCCAATTTTCTTCAATACACATTCGGTATCATTTTAATAACGAAAACCGAATGCGCTGAAAAATCATATTTTTCTGACGAAATTGATTTGCAGCTTCAATTATTCTAACCCTCAATTGTTGTTCGTCCTCTATTGTTATAGAATACACTTTCTTTTTCATAAACCCCCAAAAACAAAAGTCCATGGTGTTAAGACCTGGACTTCTCGGTGGCCAAGAAATAGGTGCGTCACGACCTCTTCCAATCCACCGACCAGGATACTGCCTGCAAAGGTATTCCCTGACTTCATGACTGTAATGCGGTGGAGCGCTATCTTGTATAAACCACATATTTTGCCTTATTGCAATATTCACTTCTTCCAAATACCCTTGTAAATCGTTTGCCAAGAACTGCAAATAATTATCACCATTTAATTTGTTGGGAAGAAATACTGGGCCTATTGGATTGTTATCCACAATTCCTACCCAAACATTAACTTTGAAAGTCCTTTGGTGATGAGTCGTTTTTTTGGTGTGAGGATTTTCGTCGGCCCTAATGTGCTCGTTATGATGGTTTGTTATTTCTACTGAAGGTAGCCTCGTAGGTAAACAAAATAGTTCTAATAAAATTAACATTTCGAGTGTTTTCCATTAACAACCATTCGCAAAATCCAATCCTTTTAGGATAATCTTCAACCAATAACTCTCGAACCGTTGTCAAGTGATAGCTGATCCTTTAAACGCATCCAAACCCTTACGTGAGGAACATTTAGTTGAGCAGCTATTACCCTTGTAATTGTTCCAGGGACTTCTCTCCAATTATTCCTAAAATGTGTTCTATCAGTTGCATCCATTATTGGACGACCACTATTGCCAGCAACTTGCGGTTGGAATGTACCCGTTTCCCGTAAACGACGATCAATGGTCAGGAATAATCGTCTATCGGGTGTATTTCGATTGGGGTATTTTACTGCATATCTGCCATTTCCTGAAATGTGTAGGCCATTGAATATTAATCTTATTCACACAATAAATGACAGCTTCAAATTATTGTTGGAACTGTTTGTAATTATTGTATCTGTAGAAACTAATTGTAATTTTATGGCCAACTAGGAAACAACTAGTTTTTCGGAAAAGTGATAGGAGGCAAAAAAGTTTTAAAAATAATGAGTAAATCCCTGCATACTCCCCTTAAAATTTTTCTTTGCGCTTAGATTTGGTTGTTTCTTTTGTATCATGCTTTCAGATCAAGAAAGTAACGTGTCCATTTTTATTACAAAATGTCAAGTATCTTAGGAGATAATGCAAAAAAGAACAATTTTTATTTTGTAACTTCAAAGGGCTGTAACTTTTTTTGTGTACACTTTTGTACCAAGTTAAGTTTGATTCAATCAATTTATTTTTGTCCCCGGAAGCGTGATTTAATTTATGACATATACCTTTTTGAAACACCCTGTATACAACTTAATGAAAACAGAGTAATTCGTAATTAAATAGATTATATATGTTCAACAAAAGATATCACAACGCCATCATCAGTGCAAAACCATATCCAGGAACTGACATCAATTCCGATCATAATCGTATTGTCGTAAAAGTGCGCAAAAGATGGAAACTAATAAAGAAATAAAAACCTCAAGAAAAACTAGACATCCGATTATTGAAAAACGACATTATACAAATAATTAAATAAAAAATTAGGAAATATTTAATAACACCCAGAAATAACAAACAGACTTCTTCTTGTAGCCCCTATCCATTTCGGATGTTGGCGACCATCATGGCAATCTTTTTTTGCAAAATGCTGTTCTGAAAAGATTTGTGGTTGTTGTGCTGAACCACGTACGTAGATTTGCCAGCCAGGAAATACTTCGATTTCCTTGGAAGGTCTCGGAAAAACTGGTCCTCGTTTTCCTTGTAGAATTAATTGTTGCAAACAATATCGGTCGCTGTTCCTCATGATGTGACCGATTTATTAGATTTTGGCAGTTTTTATTGTGGTTAACAACTCTTTTCCGTTTTGCATTCTTAATAAATCGTCCTGGCTAGTAACGTGCTCGGTATAGGATATCTTCAGAATTCGACGATAAAGCCACATTTCGAAAGCCAAAACTTTCTTGCAGGTAGCGTCTGTGAGAGTCCACGACTCAACTCCGTACAACAGTGTAGAAAAGATATAACATCGTAGTAACTTAATTTTTAAGAGTACTGATAAATCATGACATTTGAATAGCTTAGCAATTTTTTGAATTCTTCGTCCTACATATGATTTCTAGGGAATTAATGGACAAACGAAGAGAATCCAAAGGACATCGATAGCGTCAGAAACAGTGGCGGCCGGTCAGGGTCGGCAGTACCGACCCACATCTTTATAGATATTATAGACTTTTTTAATATAATCAGTATTTCAATAAATAATTGTGGCTGGTAATCAGTTGATGTCATTTGTTTTTGTGAACTAAAAAAATATCTGTGAGATTATAAAGACTAAATTTTATTCATGGTTTTTAAAAGAATTCGTCCAATCTGAGCGTTAAGTGATCCCCGCGTAAACACTTTTCAAATAGATTATTCGATATCGGAGACATTCATCCGCCTATGAGTTCTTAAAAAGGCACGTTTTGTTTTTTCGGCTAGCTGATCCCAACCTTGACTTTACTTGTAAAAATCAACGGAATATTGGTTGATTAGCAACCAAATATACATTTCTTTCCATATGAACTTAATTACCAAGTACGGCGAATTTAAATTTGTCGATGTTTCATTTGGATTGGTGATTGGTCGCGAACTGTACATTGCGAGTGTGGGACGAAATGTTATTTCATATATGTAGTAAAGTGAAGTCCACAAGGAATCTACGTTCCTGTGAAGTGATATTCAGTGCACGAACTAGTCGTTCGTTTTGTAATTTATTTTTATTTTCTAAAGTAATACTGTGATACGTTACGTCTGCCGTAAATAGTTAAAGGTTAAATGGTTTTTTGACATTTATTACAAGTTTTTTTTAAATTAAAGTGTAAACAAATTCAGTAAATTAACCTAAAAGATGCAAGCCATGGGAGAAACTGTAAGTATTGATAAGTCTGATATTGTAAATTATATTTTGCATAATGGGTTTTCATCTATTCCATACGAAGAACAAATTGTTATTAAAAATAAGGGGCGTCCTTTGCCTAAAATGTCCCGGCTTATAAATATTAGTGCGGGTAAGGGAAGTAATAGATCATTTTCAGATAATTGGTACACCAAGTACTCATGGCTTACCGGGAGTGAAATAAAAAACAAACTTTTTCTGTTGGCCTTGCATTTTATTTTCGACAAATAGGGCCAACATCAAAATCCGTGGTGTGAATCTGGTTACGATAATTTAAAGGAATTATTTAGGGCTTTACATAAACATGATATTTCGAAAGATCATACTTACAGCCAGATTAAATTAGATTTATTTGGAAAACAAAATATCTATGTTTCATTAGATAATGTCCAACGCGAAAATTAAAGAATGTCGTCTTTTTTGCCAGTTTAAGCGGATTTGCTTCATTTTTCTCAAGCTCGCCTAAACGGACTAATGTTTTAGAACGGTTTGTTTTCGAAAAAAAAAAAAAAAAAAAATGCCAACAGTTTGTCTGACGCGATGGAATTTTAAATCTTGGTTAGTTTTCACTGAAGCAGATTTTCGTGAACAGCTTTTGGAAGTTTTGATTTTATTATTGAATGTGGCGATTTTGAAAGTGATGATATCTCGATCCGTGAAGCAATCGGTTTGAAAACTTTATTAAATGATTACTCTTTTAACAAACTTTTTAAATATTTTTAAGAAAGTGTTTACCCAAACCGATTTGATATTCAATGTTGTTCAAAATCAGTACTGACATTATTCATTCCAAAAATAGAATAACAAGACTGTTATTCCCCCAAAAAAAAGACAAAGGCATGACACAGAAACAGATCTCGAAAAACGAGTATATTTTGAAATTTTGGATACTATTATTATGCAAAAGATACTCGTTTTTCGAATTTTGAAGATTTGCAAATTTTTGACCTCTTTGACGATTCAAAATTTAAAAGTTACGCCAAAGAATTTCCAAGATATTTATTAGACAGGTTAATTAAAAATTATCCATCATTCTTTAATAAAATAAAATTAGAAAATGAATTAAAAGTTTTATATGCTGATCCAAATATTTTCGGAAGATGGGATAAGTTACAAGATATGTATAATTTTATATACTGCAATTCATTACAACAAACTGTTACCGAAATTAATAAATTGTTGTCATTAATTCTCTCATTACCACCAACGTCTGCCTCAAATGAACGAGATTTCTCTTGCCTCAAAAGAATCAAAACTTATTGTCGAAATACCATGAAACAAGTGAGAATGTCAAGCTTGTCTCAAATGTCAATAGAAAAAAAACTTTTAAAATCTTTCCAAAACTCTAATAAATTTTACGATGACGTTATTACCCATTTTGCTACTTCCAAACAACGTAGACTAGAGTTAATTTATAAACATGTTTAGGTTCTAAATTTATAGAAAAAAAAACAAGACAACAAAAAATCTATGATGATTGAAGTCTTTATTAGACGGTATACCTATCTGAGGAGACAAAAAATACCTTGCCGACCTTGTCTCTCAAGCCAAGAGCCGCCACTGGTCAGAAATAATTCCAGTAAACCACACAAAAACAACAAACTGCTCCCAAGAGCCGAGAGAACGGGCGGAGAGCTTTATATTCGTTAATTATAATTTCATTATTCAAATCAATATTATAATTAACAATCTGACTAAGAAAATAAACATATATGTATGATTATTTATTTATTATATATTAGATATATACAAAAAATATACTCGGTAAATAGAACTTTTCCAAATATTAACTACTTTGAAAACTATGGATTGGGGGAAAATATCATATCCATATGACTGGTACTTGATTCAGTCATTCTCGGTGGAGCTGATTCTTGTTCAGTTCGTTTTGCTGCTATGGTTTTTAATAGTGCTTTACCCTGTTCTTTGGTCTAAAAATAAGTTTAAATTCGTTACTCAATAAATTACGAAACTATGATAAAAAATTTAAAACGATATAAAAAGAAATATACGATTAAAATATAAAATTATAGGTATCTATCAGAGTACCTATAATCCATTGCAAAATATAGTAGAAAAAAATTCGTCTCATGTTGCAGAAGATTAACCGGCGCAGGTAGGGTTATATCTTAGACCATAAAAACTGATAGACACGCCTTGTACCGAACCGTTGAAGCAAACACCTTCCGCGAAAGTGACGTCACAATGAGGCAAGAGCCCGCTTGGATTCTTAGCAAAGCACTAATAAAATTACCCAATTTTAGATTAATTTTAATATAACTTCAATATTTCGTAAAAAATATGGAAGATAAATTATTTAGCAAAGTAATTAATAAATATTTTTGCCTTAAATTGTAAAAATAAATGTTTTATTTGAAAGTACATACCTACATATATTATTATATATATCGTTGGTATATCACTTCTTGTTTGATATTCAGAAATAAATTTAAAGGATAATAATTTTCTTTTGGGTGGAAGTTTCAGGAGAGGTAAAAAAATATGTAGGAAATCTATTAATTTATTGACCACAAAACAAAATAGCTTTTGTTAACTTATTTCTAACTCTTATTACATTATTTAGTTTTTCACCTTCGTGGTACAATCTAATGTTGCAATAATGGAAACAAATTATCTTTATTAGATTAAACAAATGGTTTGTTTCAAATTCATGATCAAACATATGTTCTTTGTATGCGTTAAACACAGAACCATGCACGTTACTCATGACATTTAAGATCAATTTTGTCATTATTTTGGAATCGTTTAATTTTTTTGAATTGTACATAAATTTAATTTCGCTTTCAGCAATTTTGCAAATATGAATGACGTCTTTAGAAGGTTGAATTAAAAAATCTTTTGACATGCTATAATTTTTGTGTCTTATGAATGGAGATTGTAAATTACCACATTCAATTGCACACAAACATATGTCACAATCTAATGTTTTCTTAACTTTCTTAACGACAAACCCAGCGATATAGTCAACAACATCACAAACATAAGATGACAATGTTCTTGAAAAACTTACAATATTTACAGTATAATCCTGATCCTGGTTACTAGTTATTGTTTCCCTATTATTTTCATCAGTTATAAAGTTGTCAATGAGTTGATGATCAACAGTTTTCATTTTCACGGTATTTGTTGTGCTCATTGCTAATATTATGGAAGGTGCCTGTTCTAAACAATTAGCCTGGGTAGATCCTGTAAACACTTGTGTGCATTAATAGTCTTTTATATGCAGCTTTAAATTGTTTTGCCGTTAGATTGTTGTTGTAACCTCCATGACTCCTAATAGAACTAAAGAAAACTTCTAAGTGATCTTGAGAAAGTTTAGAGGCCGAAAGATACTTCAGACCTCCATCCATATCCTCCACGTAATTTTCCAAATTCCCATTAGTGATTTTAAACTAATGATCATACCAATAAAACCCGTCTTTCTTTGGCTTAGATATAGGGGTTCACCATTTTTGAGACACTTAGGTGAACTAAAATATTTTATAGATTCTTCAGTTTTTTGAAAAATCGCTTGTTTATTATGATGCTGTAAACTAGATTTTAGGTGTTTTGCCAATAAATTTCGTCTATTTAAAATATCAAAAATATCATTGATATGTTCAATGAAATTTTGAGTAGCTTCGCTATGTACAAATTCTTTTGAGCTTTTATTTCTCAAATAATGTATTGCCTTAGCAACTTTTTGGCTGAATGTTTGGGCAGCTGATTTCACTTTCATTTTTTTCCTTATACCAATTAAATGCCTTCGCGTTATCCTAGTTCCAAGATAAAGGCCTTCCTTCTCTTGAATGTCTACTAATTTTTGCAAATATTCCCATTTAATCGCTTTATTATTCCCGTCAAAAAAAATTTGGTAATAACCTAAAGTATTGCGAATAAGTTTCAACATGTGGAGGGTCAAACATTACATATATTGGTTGATTTGTTGCTGGATGTAGAAAATATACTTTATTGGAATTAATCGATAAATCAACTCCAAGTTGTTTAACCATGCTAATATTTGATGCTGCACCATCAAATGTTAGACTGGTAATTGTGACATCAGCTTCGTGCATTATTTTTAAGCACATTTTTATTAGATTACTTTTTTGAACACCTGATAACCCAGCGATTAAAAAGTATCCTATCGCCAGCTTCCATGAATCATTTAAACTACTAATTAAGAATACAATTGCTTCTTTTCACTTACAAATGCACTGCAAGATGCCACCATAATTATAATATTAATGCATTGGAAAAATTTTAAATTTTAACACTTTAAAACGTTTACAACGCGTATAAACATTACTAATCCCTACCGTTTCTGCGTCAAACTGACGTCACCCACAGCTGTGTGAATCGTTTTATGTTGGCTTCACTCCTCGAGACGAGAGAATTGCATTACGGCGCGTCTATCAGTTTTTATGGTCTAAGGGTTATATATTATTAACCAAATAAACTATGAAAATTTATGAACGTTTCAATCCGGCTATTCAGATGCAGGTAATAAGGAAACTCAACATAAAAATTCAAATCAACAGAAACTACAATGACAATTATTATAATGAAATCCGTAAAATAGTTTCGAAACACAATTCAGATTTCTGCTTATAATCTGAGCCTTCTAAAAAATTGCAAGGCAAACAGACGTTGATAAAAGATGTTAAAAGGGACATGGGGAATCTAAAATTTGCATTCCACGACATGTCTTTACAACTAAGCAGAAATCCTTAGCGAAGTGTGTTTCTTGTACTCGTACAGAGCAGATCCGAATAAAATGAAAAAGACAGCAAATATTTGATTTCACGCAAACAGCGCCTATGTATCTGTTGATACGTATTTCGACATAATAGGTCTCATCAGAACAGTTATTCATAGGTGTTCTCAACGTGAAAAATCAATATTTTCTGTCTTTTAAGAAGCAACACTAAAATGGCTTCAATACGGACGCAATAGCGACATCTAATAATAAAATCCGTAAAATAGTTTCGCTAAGGATTTCTGCTTAATTGTAAAGACATGTCGTGGAATGCAAATTTTAGATTCCCCATGTCCCTTTTAACATCTTTTATCAACGTCTGTTTGCCTTGCAATTTTTGAGAAGCCTCAGATTATAAGCAGAAATCTGAATTGTGTTTCGAAACTATCCGTGTTATAAAAAACAGCAGGTTTTATATAAAATATATCATAATAAACATTTTATATTTTATTTGAGATTAGGTTAGGTCAGGGGTCGGCAACCTTTTAAGTCGGAAGAGCCAAAAATTACAATTTACAAAATTTCAAGAAAGTAATTTCCGCTCTGAATATCTTCTGCAAAAAGAATGAATTTTTCTTCAAAACAAACCAATTCTTCCACCAAAACATAGGCTGGGTTTCCCTTTTCTTACAGTTTTAGATTCAGCTCATGTAATTTCGCTGTGATATCCACCATAAATTAAAATTTTTGCAACCATTTGCCGTTCCCTAATTTAGCGTGATTGATGCCTTTTTCATTTAGGAATGTATTTATTTCATTCAAGCACAAAGCAAAACATTTTAACACCTTACATTTGGAAAGCCATCGCACTTTATTATGAAGAAAGAGGTCGGAATACTGAGCCTTTATAGAATACTGAGTGCTTTTGACAAGATGCTATTAACAATCTTGATCACCAAATTCATGACCTCAACTATTTCGGCTGGAAATGTTTGGGCACAAAGCGATTCTTGGTGTATTATGCAGTGAAACGTAAGAATTTCGTGATTTAATTTGCTTTGAAAAATCGTTGTTTCCCTTTATTTTTTCCTGTCTTACCTCTGGCTCCATCAGTTGCTATTGAAACGATTTTATTTAAATCGAACGCATTGTCTTCACTGCATTTTTGCACGGCATGCGCTATATCTTCCCCTCTAGTTTGTCCCGAGAGCGGTAGCAATCCGAGAAGTTCTTCTTTGGAACCTTGGAAAGACATATACCTGACAAAAAGAGCAACTGGTGCCGTGTCTTTTACATCGCAAGACTCATCTATAGCAAGGGATAAGGCGGAAGAAAGTTGAATATCTTCCACCTGCAAATATGTTACATTTGAAGACAGTTTTAGCTACTTTATCTTGTACTGTTTTAGCGGATAGTGGCAAATCTTTGATTTTATTCAAGACTTCTGGTTTGTTTTTGAAATCACTAAAAAGTTCTTCAGATGTACTTATAAAGCAGGCTTTGATATACTCACCATCTGTGAATGGTTTGCCTTTTTTCGCAATTTCTAGTGATACCGCGAAGCTTGCCAGATTGACATTACTTGTAGATACATAATATGGAACTTGATTGCTGTTTTTGTTAATGGAGCTCATCGACAGCTTTTTTTCGTTCTTCGCCGGCTGGATATCGGTGTCTAATCATCGTGAATCGATTCAGAAGGCTTTTTAAAACTTTTTTTGGCAACAAAAATATTTGTGTGGAACTAATGAGCCGCATACGGCTCGCGAGCCGCAGGTTGCTGACCCCTGGGTTAGGTTATAGTAATTGAATGCTACACTGGATTATAAAATTAAATATATTCATGATCATATTTACAATTCCTTGAAATAATTAATTCATTATTTACAAATTCATTTATAATATCACTTTCGCTTGTAGAAGCCTTTAAATAGAAGTTCTTTTTAATACACTTCTTTTTTTTTGTTAAACAGAATGATTTTTGTATAATAATTTTTTTATTGGCAGGTTCATTTAAACTACCCTTACTTGTTTCAAAAATTTGATTGGTTTTACAGAGGCTGATGCAATCACTGTATTAGAGTGTTTCAACATTAACTCTAGTTTTTCTTGGTTTAACTTATCGTTTTCAATTGTTTCCATGATTTGTAGGCAGTTGTTAGTAATTTTTTCTTATTATCACTGCTATTGTTAGTGGTACCCAATTGTGAGGATACTTTTGAAATATCTGTTTCTATTTCTGGTATATCGTCATTTTCCTCTGTTTTAGATAGATTTTTACTTTTCTTTAAATAAATTATTCTCTCAACAGTTTTATCCCGTATAAAGAGCATTAATTGGTTAATAATTTTGTCTCATCATTTTATTTTTCTCCTTCTAAATAATGATATTTAATTGTTTTATGGAAGCTTTCCAAGTGCATATTTGTATTTCACAACCAATTCGGTGGCAATATGCCCATTGCTTAGTAATGGACAAGTAATGTGTTTGGCTGTATTTTCCAAAAACTGGTATCGTTATCTTGTAAAAGAGTTGAATGAACAAATTCATTGAATTTTAGATTAAAAATATCTACATTTAGTAAATTTTTCTTTATTATTTTTAATAAATTTGACTATCATGCTCTGTCTACGTGCCATGAGCACAACAGTTTTTTTTCTACGGATCCCATAACAAAGCACCAGGCATTAAAATAAGTCTCAGTTATGTCTGACATGAAAACCTTAGAAGTAATTTTACCTGTTATTTTTTTTATTTCCAAAAGAAAATGTGACATAAATAGCTGTGTTTTTTATTTGAAAACTTAAAGGCTACAGGAAAACCTCTTTCATTCTCATCCAAGACAAGCAAAGTCGTGAGTTCAAAATCATAACTATTTAAGCCATAAGTACCATCTATTGTTACTAAAGTATTTCCAAAATCCAATAAAGTTTTTCTCTGAATATCGTTCATAATTATTAAACAAAAATCATCACTTTCAAAACCTATACATTCTTGTCCTTGAGGCTTATAAAATATAACTGGATTATTTTCATTTTTTTTGCATTCTGCAACCCAAATGTCCACACTGGTTGCATCATCATGTTGGAAGTAGCCGCCTTTCACACTAACTTTATAAGACATCTTAATATTGTTAATGTTCTTATTCGTAAGAAGATAAACTCTTTTAAGATCTCTAAAACTCTAAAAAATATTTTAATTTGTACAAAAAAAAAACATTAAATATGTAGAATACAAATAAAAATACTAAGCAAAACTGGGTACATTTATTTATCAATGTTACTTACGCTTTCGCAGGAACTAAAATAAGTTTAAAGGCAATTATATCCTTATCTCCCGTTGTAATCTGCAAATGTTGTATATCTTCACCATGTAAATAATGTGACTTGTAATATGTAATAAAACACTCATCTGATTCCTTATTTCTTTTAAAATAATTTGGCTTACATATGATTTTTCCAATTTACAAGATCCCTGCGATTTCAATTTTCTTTTTCGCTTAATTTTTAAATCATGCTTCTCTTTCCTGTTTCTATGTGAACGCATACACTCATAATATTGTTTTTCAAATTTGTTTACAGGTCTTTTCCCAGTATATTTGACATACTGAACTTTATTCAGAGTTTCTACTTCCAAAAGCCATTGAGTGAAATCTAAAAAATTTAAACATTTAGAAGAAGATTCGTTAAAAAAAGGTGATAATTATACATACCCATATGAGTTCTAAAATATAATTCTTCAAAACATTCTCGAAATTATGAGTATCAACCAAATGTTTTCTGAAGTCATTATTAAATTTAAAGTTAACATTACAATCAACACAATACTTTGTATCACACATATATTCAATATTCTTAGGTTCCTTATTATGTACAGTTCTGGAATGTTTATTTAGATTGTATTGAAAGGAAAAAGTTTTCCCGCACTCAAAACAAAATACTGGCATTTTATATTATTAGATGCCAAGTACAAGATAAGAATAAGAAATATTTTTATTTTAACGTTACACGTTACTTACTTTACAAAAATATGTTGTTTACAAATGAATCTGATGAATTCGCGCCAACAGATTACTCCTATTAGGCGCTCTTGCGCTGACATAATCGCTCCCTAGTGGTACTAATAAGGAACTAAAATCTTGATCAACCTTTGCTTCTTTCTTATAACGTGTGTTCAACTTTGGTTCAACCTTTGCCGACGCTAGTAAATAACAGTAAAATATTCTTTTATATGCGTCTCTATTATTCGGTATTACTTTGTTTAATAACCAAAATGCGTTGAATTTGTCAGCCAATCCAGTTCACCATAAATGGAGTAACCGCAATGATAAGCGCTATCATTTTTTACGAGAAATAATTGACGATGCAATTATCAATGTATAATATACAGCTACTGACTTTATGCTCGCTGATGTATTGACTAACAGTAAATGTGTTGAAAACATAACAAATTTTTAAAATTCGACATTTTTTTTAAAGATATACAAGAATAAACTATTTTACCTCTTCACATTCTATACACTTGTAGGCATATGTGTATGCATCATCTAGTTCTCCCTTCTTCAAATGGTAATTGGCTAAGTATTGCAGTGCATTAAAAAATTCAGCTTGATCATCTACACACCTTGATTCTTTATCCTCCTCCCTCAAGCAAAATTCTGTAAATGCATCGGCTGCACTGTCAACCATTTCTAATTTATCATATAATCTAAAAAATCACAATAATTATTGCCTGTCCATATAAAATACAGTAATAGCCAGCTAGGAAGAACCAAGGCATCTTTAGTATTTCGAATGTTACCGAAAAGCTGTTGATGGGTATACTACTTACAAAATTTCATGAACCTAAATTATTCATTTGGTGACGTCAATCTACTAACGAAACGAGGAAATCCGACATGGACAACGGAAAAATGTAATTGTTTGCAGTGCGTTCTCTCAGCAAGAGAAATTCGAACTATTCTGTTGCAATGAGTACTTCAGTTGTAAAAATCTATACCTTCATTAACCAATAAATATAAACATGTTATTAGAACTCGTGTATACATAATGTTTAGTGAAGGTTTGTATCAAAATATAGTTTGCCATAACCTACTGAAATATCACTAGCGTCTTTGCATTTTTTCTTGTTCATTTTAGGCCAACATGTTACCCTTCATACTCTTCAAGAAAAACGGAAGGACATAGATAAAATTACCATTTCTACTAGTTCACCGAGTGGGGTTATGAGAGGGTTATGGGAGATATGAAATTCTGATGGTTAAACTGCAATATATCAAATCGAAAATATCTAATGGAACAATCATATGTGGCATATAAAAGATTAAATTTTTAAAAGTTTGATATCAAGTTTGGCAAAATTTAGAAGGAAGAACCGTCGTTAATAATTATGGACAATGCACCTTACCACTCCAGTTTAGTGGAAAAAATACCAAATTCAAGTTGGACTAAACACTTTTTAGTAGAATGGTTAAAAGGGAGACATTTACGTGTTTCAACAACCATGATGAAACTTAAATTATTGGAGATGGTAAAAAAACATTTACCAGATAAAGTTTTCAAGTATGTATTAAGAGATATTTAATAAAGGAGATTATATTTGTTTTATTCTACAGATTAGATGTAATGGCACTTCAACATGGTCATAGAATATTGAGATTGCCTCCACCAGAAAAATAGAAGGAATATGTAAGACATGCAGAAGATATTGTTACGTAAAATATAAGTCACATTAAAAACCTGTAAACATGTTTATTCACTTTCTGTTCTAGTATTTTCTACGAGCCGCTATAAAAGCCAGTCTGAGTTCCCCTTCATTTGAGACAATTCAGGTCAATATCCACGGGCTTCGAGAAATTCCATTCTAACAACTGTATTGGGTATATAACGGAACTTTCATTTTGTGGAGCCAGTCAGAAGATAATAGCGCGCCGAGTTTTAAACGTAACGCTCGTATTATAAATAAATTATGTAATTATTAATCGAAAATAAATTGTTGTATAAGTGGTTTAATAAATTGATGTAAATTATTGTGGTTTAGTGAATTAGAGAAATAAAGTAAATAAATTAGAATTAATAAAAACTCAACAATATCATTAATGAATACTGGGAGACAGCCAAAAAAAATTATGCCAGCCACATATTTCCAATAATTTTTGATTTTAACGAATCAGATAGAGAATTCAGGAATGATATTGAGGAAATATCTTAAACTATTAATTATGGATATTTATATGTATTAAAAGGGTTTTTTTTAGAACCACGACATTTTCTTGAAATGTAAGATATAATTGACGCCAGGCACATATCCCCTGTAATGATTGATTTTAATGAATCAGATTCTGAATCGGATTGTGGATTGTTTGAAATTTAATATTCAATTTTGTTATTCATAAAAAAAGAAGGTAAAATTACATTCGGTATCTTGTTTTTTAACTAAACTCCATTAACACTATTTCATCTGCATACCGGAACTGGTAAATTAACTCAAAAATCAACTGCTTCACTATTTAAACTATTTGGGTACATTGTTTTTTTAACTAAACTTCATTTTTAAACCCTTTCATTTGTACACCCAATCTGGTAGAATAACTCAAAAATCAACTGCTTCACAATTTATACTATTTCCACTATTTAATGATAAATCTTCACAACATTAAACTATCGGCTGCCACAGAAACTTATACGAATATGACTGATTTCAATCGATGCTATTTTATCACAGAAATGTTTGCTTTGTTTGATGCCTTGCAATTGCAGTCAACTCTAGATTCTGGGAGGAAGCGTTGTTATAAACAAACATTCCAATTCCATAGTGTTTGTAATAAATAATAATAAATCCATAAATAAATCTTAGCTAATTAAGCACTTTCCTTGGAATGTATAGAATAGGAATTATGACAAACTGCCGTTCCAATATAATGCACAATACAAATTTTTATACAGGACGGGACCTCTAATATGCAAATTAAAGAAAAATTTGAATTGTTAAAGTTTTAATTACTATTAAACTGGGAATAAGCCACAATTAAAGATAAAAATACGTTTATTGACGTTTCAATTTCCACTTCGGAAGTCGTTCTCAAAATACAAACAGTAAATTGTTAAAACAGCTTCAGAACAATGTTAAAGTTTTTACTCCACATTTAAAAAAAATATATCTTTTTCGCATTTAGCCAATTACGATCCACAAGGATCTACAGACCGAGAGTTTGGAACAAATTCCACGGTTTCGCGCAATCGTACTTGTAAGTTCGTGAACTAGTCGACTGCAGTTACATTTGCCAAATTTAAATGTAATCGTTTCTACTCATTCATATTAATATTATAATGTATAATATATTAAAGTTTTTAATATTGGTAATATTATTAAAGCTTTTAATATTATTTTTTAATATTAATAATAATATTAAGTAATTAAATATTGCGCCTTGCTTAAAAAAAGTACGAGATAAATAACTCGTTTTTTTTATATGAAAGTGCAATTTTCTTGCAAATGCTTGGTTTTTTTTGATAAGATAATACAAATTGTATAAAGAGTAGCTAAGCGTTGGGTAGTCAGTGGCGAATCTACGAGGAGGGAAAAAGGATTTTCTGAAATTGTCAATACTTTGACTGAACATACAACCAAGAGAGGATGGAATGTGGTCAGACCACTAGCAATATTGAAATAAAACCAGTACGTGACAGGAAACGATGTAGAATATGTTGTATGGATTAAATTTGAAAAAAACACAATTTACGAGTGTACTGATTGTGACAAAAAAGCCTGGACTATGCATAGGATATTGTTTTCGCAAATACCATTCAACCAACAGAGAGATTGCATTCAGTATATTAGTTTAAATAAAAAAGTTTATTTTCTAAAGACCTTTTAATTGTTAGCTGATGTCCCACTAACAATTTCTAATTTTAAAATATAAATATCTTAAAAACTTCCACAAATGTTAGGGATAATAAATTGAAATCCTTTAACAAAAGGCTATAGCTCTAATTTGAATGAGCTGGTTTTGGCGATTTGACTTTCTTATTACGAATTAGCATATTAGGCAGGTATTTTACATAGTGACAATTCTCTTAAAGATTTTTGTTTCATTGAAAACTGAACCTGATATTAATTTCTTGAAAATCCTTACGTATGCTAAGGGTAATAAATTAAAATCCTTCAATACAAGACTATATGTAGGTATCTATAATTTGAATAAGCTGGTTTTGCCCATACTGACTTTCTAATTACCTATTAATTTGCATAACAGTCGCAGATATTGTACCTGGTCACAATGCTGTTTAATATTAGCATTTTCATTTCGCTTTTTGAAACATCCATTATTTAAACTAATATACTTAATGCAATCTATCTGTTGGTTGAATGGTATTTGCGAAAACAATAGCCTATGCATAGTCCAGGCTTTTTTGTCACAATCAACACACTCGTAAATTGTGTTTATTTCAAATTTGATCCGTACAACATATTCTACATTGTTTCCTGTCACGTACTGGTTATATTTCAATATTGTTAATGGTCTGACAACATTCCATCCTCTCTTGGTTGTATGTTCAGTCAAAGTATTGACAAATTCAGAAAATCCTTTTTCCCTCCTCGTAGATACGCCACTGACTACCCAACGCTTAGCTACTCTTTATACAATTTGTATTATCTTATCAAAAAAACCAAGCATTTGCAAGAAAATTGCACTTTCATATAAAAAAAAAACGAGTTATTTATCTCGTACTTTTTTTAAGCAAGGCGCAATATTTAATTACTTAATATTATTATTAATATTAAAAAATAATATTAAAAGCTTTAATAATATTACCAATATTAAAATCATTAGTATATTATACATTATAATATTAATATGAATGAGTAGGAACGATTACATTTAAATTTGGCAAATTGTAACTCCAGTCGACTAGTTCACGAACTTACAAGTACGATTGCGCGAAGCCGTGGAATTTGTACCAAACTCTCGGTCTGTAGATCCTTGTTTACGATCCTGCAACTAGTCGGATTTAATGTCATGCAATAATTCTCGACATTCTTAAAATCCTATATGACGTCAAAATTAGTGATGCACTGAAAGAAGGGTTTGGGACAGACTGTAGTTTTTGCATTAGTAATATAGTTGTGAGTACTTTCTAACACTTTATATTAAGATAATATTAATGTAAGAAATTATGTTTATTTTAATAGTTGTAAACTGTTTTTCTTAAACATAACTCACATTTAATACCTTATCTATTATCTAAAATAAAGTGGTTTTACAGGGAAAGCAATAATAAAAATCCACAAAGGAAAAATAAATTTCCTGTAGTCAGCTGTATACCATATCTCTCTGATAGACAGCATCTCACAGAAAAACTCTTAAGATTGGACCTATACGAAGATCTTGAAATAATCAAAGAAAAGCAAAGAACAACTATTTTCATGTAATTACTATTTTAATGGAAATAAGCTACAATTGAAGGGCTTAATGTGAAACAATGACAAGCCACACATGAGTTCAAAGAGAGTTAATGTTATGCTCTGTTAAAGTAATAGCATAACAAACCACTAAAAATTGGATGCCAAAAATTCCATAACGATTCTGAAACTTCTAATGAGTAACCAGTCTCTGGGTCAGTGCGGAAGTTTCAGAACCTTTTGTACACCTATATAAACCGGATTTGTAGGAACGACCAATAAGGATTACTGTTATAGATTGTAGTTTGAAAATGTTTTTATATATAGTAATAACAATTGCACAAGTAGTAAATAAAAAGCGTGTATAAATCGAACCGTGAAATTACTTCTCGTTCCAATCATAATCAAACAAATATTAAAAGCATACTTACTTTGCCAGTTTTAGTAAAGCAGTGCCTTCGACATCACCTAGATTACAAGCTTTATAATAACACTTCAACGCATTTTCAGTCTTATCTAATTTTTCATAAGCTTCTCCTAATGCTATAACCATCCGACTATCGTTTGGCTTTAACTGTTGTGCTCGTTTGTAATAATGTAGACAATAGTTGGGCATTTTTAAAATTTCGTAAGTTTGACCTAATCCATACCAAGCTCTGTAGTCTCTAGAATTTATTTCTAAAAATCAAAAAATAAATACAAATAAACGAAAAACGTTATATAAACTTAATTTTTTTATGTATTTATGACGACGGACAAGGATGTATATTGTCTGATATATAATGGTATCGCTGCAGCTCAAAACAACTCTTTAAAGCACTTGCTTCGAAAGCTAGAGTGGCTATGATGGCTGCCAACCTCCGTAACGGAGATAGTAGTACTAGAACATATTTTAGATTGAAATCATCCTTTTGATGGAGTAATTTTTAACGAAACATATACAAGCTGTCAATAAATTCAGTGAAAATTAAAAGCAGTGTTTTATATTCAAATCTATTGTTAAAAAGAAGTTTCTGTTAATGTCATAGAAAGTTTATGTAATGCAATATACCATTTTTGCGAACTCATTGTTAAATTAACAAAATTCAAATATCTAAATAGGAATTCCGCTCTTGACTTACCAATAGCATGTCTATAACTTTGTATAGCAGCATTTGTATTTTTCATTTCCATAAATTCATGACCCATTAACGTCCAGGCTGAGAGAAATTGTGGATTAAGTTTTAATGCTCTACGAAAATATAGGACAGCTTTTGTATGATCTGATCTTAAACTGTAGTAATTCCCTACAATAAAAAAGAATGAATGGACATATACACAAGTGGTCAAAATTTTGGAAACTACAAAAATTTTAGTTTAGTTAGCAGCATTTCTCTTTTATACAAGATTATCTATAATTTTATTGCATCATTTTATCTGAAACTTCATGGGCTTTGATCAACCACGAAACAGCCCTGGTCCCTACACTACTGAGTTTGGTTATTACAAGGTATTGATCAGACTATAATTCTTTCTTTATATACTCTTAAATCCGATACACAGAAATGTGTCGTCTATCTATAAATAAGTAGGTGGTTAATTTATTGTCTTGTTAGGCCGCCAGAAGCTTGCTATGTAGTTTCGTGAATGTTTTTGAAGATCTGGAGATACAGAGACTATGCTTTCCAACAGTTAGGCGATAAGTTGTCTCTCGATCCAACTTATCGTTGAAATCATCTAAAATAATGTTTATACCTACTGCCAAATTTGTGTATGTTAGTGTGTATGTTTGTGATGTTGACGATTGCCATAAAAAAATCTACATAAACATTTTAGTAATCTCTTCTTTTGTCCAATCACCTGCGGTACATTAATCGTCCTTCTAAGTGACAAGGCATTTATTCAATACACACACTACAAAACATACACATAAACAATCCTCATATTATATGATATGTGACTAGCTGTAAGACTAATTCTCCAAGATTATAAAAAAAAACATTTATTGTTTAAGCCACATATTATATTGATGATAATTTACCAGAAGATGCACAAGTAAATGGACTACAATCATTTTGTTTTATTGTCAAATAATAAGATTAAGACCTATGAAGAAACCTAAAATATTACATATCGGTTTTGTTTTGTAATTTTTAATGATAAATTAGATCTAAGAATCAAATAAAGCATAAGTTCTACCACATTAAGATTATTATAATAGCATTTTGGTATTTACCTATAACACAGCATGTTTCGACACGATATTTATCTATATTAACAACTTTGTGTGCTAAATCAGCTAGTTCTTTTTTCTTTTCAAGTACATACAGAAGATTTGAATAAGTATCCAAGTTGTCCAAACGATATGGATCGATTTCCAATATTCTTTGGAAAATTTCAATAGCATCATTTAAGTCTGAAACAAAAATAATAAAAGTATTTGGTGCAAAACTCAAAATAATTTATTAAAAATACATTATATAATAGTCTATACATTAAATACAGTCAAAATCTGATATAAGGACATTGAAGGGACAAAACATAATAACAATGTTGGATCTGAATTAGGTGTTTCATCATAATTTTCCTGCATGTGAAACTGTTCATTAAAAAGAACAATCTGTCGTAATACACTAACAGCATTGAGACCATCAGCAAAGTTAAAACTGTAAATGGTTCTTCAAAGTCTTCCTGTTTGCCATTTTCCTCTTAAATTTCTTGTACAATATCATCCTCCATAGTGAACTCCTGTTTCAGTAGTAGATAAAGCTGGTCATATATTTTGAGTTAATTGAATCAAAGAAATATTTTCCACTATATTAACACCAGTCGCTTCATCATGAGGATATTTTTAAGAAGTAATTAAAATCTGCACATCTAAATTAGTTAGCTATAGTTTTTTGTGAAACCTTTGCCCACACTTCGGATATCAACAACCTTAAAGCTGTTCTGATCATTCCTGTCAAGATTTTGTATTAATTTTAACACTTGCATCTTCTATAATGATATTTTAAACAACTTATTACACCTTGATCCAAAGATTGCAGTACAAATGTGACATTTGTTCGTATGAACATAAGTTTAATGTATTACAAATTGGTAACAGCCATATGAGCAGGACAATTATCAACCAAAAGCAGAACTCTCTTATTGTTTGCTTTTAATTAAATGTCCAAGTTTATTAACCATCTTTCAAAAGTTTCCAATGTCATCAGCTTCCTTTTACAGGGTTCTGTCATATTTGCTGCAACCATAATCGTCAGTCTAGTCTTGGACATTTTTTTCACCAGATCAATTCTCTCCTTTGAACTTATGTAGACCGTTTTTGCTTCATACACCATTCTTCTACCATATTTTTATTAACACTGGCAGCTTCACCACTGATTATCCTGTTGACAAAGTAAAAATATATTTAAACTTTCTTAAACTCAAGTTCATTTTTCCAGAAATCATAATCCCCTCCTCAGGTTCAGTTGAGTGGTGTCAATAAAATTACATAATTAGCATTGGTAGCAATTAAAGGTAGGATTATCTTCTAGTACCTGCTTGGGGATAAATTGAGGGCGGACCAACATCTCAAAATCAGTGATAAATATTTAATAATCCAATAAAATCTCTTGTATAATTTAATCAGGAAATTATATTATCAAGTGCGCATGACATTAGTAGAGTGATTTAATTTAGTTAGTTGTCAAAATAGTTTACATAAATTGTTTATCTAATGATTTAGGAAATTCCATAACATAGGACTTTCTGGTAGTAGCAAGTCCCAGGCACAATCTACTTTACATAATTTAATACCTTGATGATACATTTTACAAATGTTAATATCAAACTATGCATAAATACCTATAAAAGTTTTGGACTCCCATTTGCCAAATTAGTTTCAGACATGGGAAATAGTTTTATTTTTTAAGTTAAATAACTTGCAGTTATGAAAAATATCATAAAAATATTTCACTTTTTTAACTATACTTACATAATTCGACCCATGCAATGAAGACTATAGTAACTCAAAAAATGGTTGATTTGACTTACTATTATGGTATTATTATTCTTTTCAAGCTCGATTTGGTAGAAACGTATGGTAAATCAGGTATAAATTTTAAGGCAACCAGTAAAACATTTGCATGTGCATAGTAAATTTACTGACTCTCACTCCTGCAGGCAAAAACTATGGTAAGTTGAGTTACTATAGTCTTTGTTGCAAGAAACAGGGGAAGGTATTGCAAATTTGACTTACTATGGGTTTCACTGCATGCTTACTTGTAGGTTATGTTTGTTACATACTCCTATAAAGATTTAAAGTAGCAGCTGTGGAAAATAATTATTTTTAATGCGAATTAAAATGAAATCAAGAACACAAAAAATTTTGTACAATGCAAAAAAACTTATGTGAAAAACAATCATCAGATTCAAGTAAGTTTAATCTATATTAATTTTATTTCTTGTTTTTTACCAACATGAATTATTATTTTAGAACCAGAAAAACATTAGAAAACAGTATGCCCTTTTAGCACATGTACATTAGAATATATGAAACGACAACCAAGTTTACTTATGACTGTAAAATTAGCAAATAATGTACCAGTGAATTTAGGTATGTTCATTGATTTTATTATTTATTTATTTTAACGGGTCATTTTTTAAGAATTGGATGACTCCCCAATCACTGAATTTACTTGTGCTAGTGAAGTACCCATTGTATCAGATGCAGGAACCTCATCGTGTGATACAGCTTTAGTTCCCAGCAACCACTCTACAGACAAGCAAATCAGTGCTCATAATGCTCAATCAGGTACATCACTATTACTTAATATAACTGTTGATAACACCAAATAATGAAGTTAAAAGTCAAATTAAGGCTGTCAACGTTTGTAGAAAGCATAAAGAAAAAACAGGTAGAAAGCGTGTAAGAAATACAATTCCTGATTCTGACTCATCTAATATGCCAGATACTGAAGTTAAAAGTCAAATTAAGGGTGTCAAAAAATGATGATTCGAAAGAATTACCTCGACAGTATACAAGCTTGCTTCTAATAAATGAGAAAAAATTGAATGGTTTACTTGATTTATGTAAACCCAGAGGAAACAGTCTTCACAGCATTCCTGAGGTTTACCATGAGTTTACCGATTAGTTTTAGGAATGTTTTTCATTAACATTTATGTTTTCTTTCAATAAATCTGTTACTAAACCTAGAGTAAGTGTTCTTTTCCCTTACTTAAATGCTTCAATGAAATTGAAACCCTTTATATAATAATATATCAGAAATTTAAGTGTGTAAGACATATTTCTTCCAAAAATAACGACATTTATTAGAGTGAAATCTTTGCGAAAAATTTTCAAATGTGATTGTCTCAGTTCAACCACAAGTACTTAAGTTACAATAGTTTTCGTTGCATGGGTCAATATATTACTTAAAGTGATTAACTAATATTTATTAAATTAAATAAGTTTTCTGATGTTAATAAAAACACATACAAAAATTCTATCTAAAAGAATATTACTTACTTCTTCTGTTGTGATGCCCTATTGCAATTTGTGATAACACATAGGTGCAATTTTGAAAACCTTGGGAGAAAAAGTTATTATACATCTGAAGAGATTCTTCATTATTTAGTTGTTCAAGAAAAGTGTGTGCTAAAAAGAAGGATTTTATCCAATGTTCTGGTAATGCTACTGAAAAAATAAAATTCTTATCTGGAATTATCTTTCCCAGCTCAAACCAAGCACTCCATAACATAGGTTCAGCAATAACAGACTTGACAAACACTTCAATAGCAACAGATACTAAATCAAGCTTCTTTAAAACCACTCCATACAGATATAAACAATATCCATCTAATCTGTTCTCAAAACATTCTATCTTTAAAGTAGTATACAATTCAACTAACGTCTCATTTTTAGTTGGATCGTGAGAGGAATTTGTATCTATCATATTGTCTTCTATTTTCTTCTTTTCGATGGATAAATATTTGGAATAAAAATAGAGAAACCGCGATTTGGGTTTCACACAGTCTTTAACAAAATAAGAACATCTATCGTATTCTTTTAGATCAAAATACGATTTAGCTACTAAATAGGCATCTATTTCTTCATCTAGATCGTCTGATATGGCTGCAGTGTCTTCTTTAGATAATTGTATGTGTTTTAAAGAAAAATTAATTTCAGATAACCATTTCACTGAATGAGATAATCCCCTTTGTGAGCAAGCATGAATTGCTTTTACTAAATCTATCTTCATAGAATTAAAATCGAATGTAGTGTCTACCTGTTGAACTTCCATTTTATCAAAAATTTTCTTTTAAAACAGTTTAATTAATTCACAAGTAACAACCGGTAACAACTTTTCAATTTCTTTTAAATTTTACAGTATATACCCCCCTAGTAAGGTAACTCCCATATAAAGTTTTGAGAGAGAGTTTCTAGCGCCAAATACGGACGGGCCGAAACTAATTTCATTTGGCAGATCCAGAGATATCTCTTACATATCTCTGGCACAGAATAATAAACAATTGTTTATTATTCTGTGTCTCTGGGCAGATCAGAGATATGTAAGAGAGTTTAAATCCACGGTTCCTAGACTTACTAGTAAGTCTACGAACCGTGGTTTAAATCGTCCAATTGACGGTTAGCAAATCAGTTGATTAAGGTCAATTCAGATCATCGAGCAAAAAGATAAAAGAGGGAATGTAAAGGTAGTGGGGACAAAAATATTGTTAGACAGGAAGTGCTATCTTGAGAGGCCACTTTAAACAAGGAAAGAAAGTCTCTTTCCTTGTTTAAGAAGTCAAATTTAGTTAGGTTATGTTATTGTTTGTCCCAACTGTCACATGACATTTTATTTATATTGAAGTTTTTTACCAATTGTGTCACTTTTTAGACCTTTATCGTTAATATTTAATTAAAACTTTCTTGTCTGAAAAATATTTTACAGCTATTGTTAACAAGTGTTGGAAAATTTAAATTTAGCGCCTTTGCATTTCCGGATATGTCCGCCATCAGAGGTCACTTTTTTGGTCTCCTTTTCATAACGATTAGATTCCCTCTTTTATCTTTTTGCTCGATGATTCAGATACATCAGTCCCGTCATAGTCTCGGCGCCGAATCGGTCCTGTTTGGTCACAGAACTATCATCTATCTGACAGCTGGGAAACTGTTCGTCGCCTGATAAATCTGAATGCCGACGCCATATTTCTATTAAAGAATATTTTGTATGACGGATTGTTCGGTTCGGCGCCAGGACTGTGACGAGACGTGATTGATGTGTCTGAATCGACCTTTACAGTCTGTTCGTGCAACCACAGAATTGCAACTGTGCATAAGAAGATAAGATGTTGCGCATAAGTCGTGACGTCATTGGAGAGTTTGACGTTCGAAATGTTAGTTTTTTGTATGTATCAATAATCTTTAATAAATAGCTTAGAGATATTCTTATGTGTACGATTATTGTAATTACTAAACCTCTTAACTTATTTTCGTCTAGTAATTTCATCACAGAATGCATACAAATCCCATTTAACTTTAACAAGAATTCAAATTCTACTCTCCAATGACGGCATGCGCGCACCGCACATGCGTCTCCCGCTATATTATACCCCCACCTAACGTGACTAGTAGCGCCGCCGCCATTAAGAACGGATGGGCCCATGCAAAACACTATCCCCACCCGTCCTATTCCACTTACACTACTAGAATTTTACGTGACATTACTGACTACTGACAATTGACAGATAAATTATAATCTGAATGGCACACAGTGTGGCCAGATTTATTTTCCTCGTGTCGCCAATCCAATCTCAAAATGTCGCCAATTTTCGACCGATATCGCCACTAGTATACTCTCTGAGCATCATACTAAGACTTCCAAGATAAACCCACTTCGCAATCGAATTTTGTACATCGACGCGCATGACGTCAATTGGTGATAAAAGTCATTTTTATCACCAACCTTTTTTCATCACAGTCGGTAAAACATATATGGAAAAAAAGGGGTTTTTATTTAAATATTTAGAATATTAAGGGATGTTAGGTAAAATATCTGCAATTAAATCTTAAAAATATGTTATATATACATCTCTGTTAGCCTAGCAATGTAAACTAAAATTATATAAAAAAGTAAGAACTAAACATCCTTTTGCAAATGAAAATTTATGTACACTGGATTGATTTATTAAAATAAAAATTTAATACAACTGATAAAATAAAATACACTGTAATAATTTACAAGTTTATTTAACAATTTATTTTAAAATTTTTAATATTTTCTTCTTCTTAACTTTGGATGTTTCTTTAATATATCTATTCAATTTTCTAATTTTAAAATATAATTTACACCTTTACTAACATTACATCTGAACACAGCTAAATCCATTAGCGATTTTAAATAATTCTTGGTTAATTTTAATGACCCTTTGTTAAAATTGTTAAAAATATGGTCCAGTTCATTACATTTAATTAGAAAATCTGGATATGGTTTAAGTAAACCTCCTTCGGAAAGATGGTTTACCCAGTAAACCGATGTCAACGTACAAGATAAACGATAAAACAAAACTAAATCTCAAGGTTAGTAGATATTTAAGTAGATACTTAAATATCTACTAACCTTGACTATATCTGACAAAACTCCATACAGCACAGAACATTTCTGGTGACAATTTTCGCCAAGTGACGTCACACGACTGATCGCGTGCGCGTGGGTATATCCAATGACGTATAATATATAGACTCGGTGAACGCTTTAAAAAGTGTCCAAAACATGAATACCTTTGTTATTGTTTATTGTTTTGATACGAAGATGCACGAAGTTCATGATTTCTTACGAAGCATCACGAAGTTGATCTTGTGTTTGAAAACATCATGGACGTATGAAAACATTTTCTCCATTTTGTGTGACAAGCAAATTTTATTTTAAATTGTTGAGAGTTATTTACTTACTATTTTAGTACAATGCCATACTATTTTATCAAAATAATTATTTCTCTTATAAACGGGAACAAAAGAAATCATAAATATTTAATTTTAATTAAAAAAATAATTATTGTCATTAACATTTTAATGAGCACGCCGCTGTTATGATAAACATACCTTCAACCTTGAGCCGAGATCTTTTGGACACTCGATTCTATAGCGAGAATAGGGACTGCGTAGTCTATATATCAGGGGTATAGGATCAAATCTGGCTACGTCCATCGTGCATGATTTGACAGGAAGTAAAAAAACACTCTCACTTTTGATGGCAGCAACTAAAATTTGAGAATTACTGTTAAAACAATGAAAGAAAAGTCACTCTTTATATTGGTATTACATTCAGCATACTACAAGAGCAGGAAATACGCTAAATTGATAGAAACTATTGGACGTAACCTGTTTTGATCCCAAGCGATGCACATAGCCATGTTTGATACCAACTTCACAGGACTTGACCAAGTTTGATTCCAACTGATTCCAACCTAATCTTACCGGCCGGACTCAGTACAATGTGTCAAAATACTGCGTATCATGAACATTATTTTTATGAGGTTTCCTCACGCCTTGTATCATGTACCACTAGCATCACGTGTCACTCTTCAGCTGGTCAACCATTTATGTACAAAAATTAGGTTTTTTTTTATTTATTTGTTTAGGTATATATATTTCTTACAGGCTAACAGTATAAAGCAACACAACTATAGTTAAAAGATAAAACTAAAAAAAAATCTCTAACATATTTGTTTCAGTACAAATCATCACTTTAACATTATTATATCAACAAAAGCGGTGTTTCTTCTCTTGGTTCACATTCCAATTCTTCATTGTCATTTTCATTCTCAGCCAGAGTTTCATTAATGTTTATCACATCTGAATAGAAACTTAATTGTTCCAGGCCTTGCCAGTCGTCTCCAAAATGTTTTGATAGCAGATTTTTAACGTCCCTTACTTTTAATGCCTTTACAGGTATGTGGTGTATTATTTTTTTAGGAGCAATCATACTCATAATTTTAGATCTCCGACAAACATTTTCATATTTTCCTGATTGATTCCTGTAAAATCTCTCCGACTGAACCAACACATTTCCGATCCGCTTCGATCGTTTTAAATAGAATCTTTTACACTGCGCAAACTGTACTTTCCACTGTCCGGGGGGTTTCAGTATTGTTTCAGCTTCCTTTTTGAAATCATATACAATGAAATCTTCGCCTACTTTTACAATAGTTGCCTGCTGTGAAATGATATCGATGTACTGATTCGGGCTTAGTATTGTGTCCATTTTACGAAATTCCTTTTCACTGTTTCCGAAAACTCTATCTGCTGGAAGATAGGAATGGCCAGTTACTGGAAACACCAGTTCTACTGTTTTAATAGAAGGATGTTCCAACAACCATTTGCAACACATTGTGATTATGGTGGAATTTTTATTCTGACCTCCGCAGCCGTCTGAGATCAGTCTAATGGTAGTTATATTGGTAAGATCCATCTTGTTTAGGTGGTTATACACTGCAGATGCTATTGTATTAGAATTTTTTGAGAAAGTGTTCTCTGTCCAGACATTTGCGAAAACGTTGTTTTTATTAAGTGGTGTCTTTGAAGTTCCTTCCACAATGGTGTAATTAAAAAGATATAATTGCCTGCTATAATAACACGATTGATCTGGTACTTTAGGAAGATTCATGTTTTTTTGGCAATCATAAGAAATTATTTTCAAACCCTCTTCTTCTGTCTTGAGCAGCGAATAGAAAGCTTTTGCCCTCAAGCTATGAACTCTTTTTTCTACTCTGAACTGTTCCTTTTTCCTTTCATCTTTCTCTGTTTTTATTTTTTCTAGTAGCTGCAGACATGTTGAGCACATATCTGTATTCGGACTGCCAAATCCTAAATTGTATTTGGTGTTGAAAATATGTCTGAAGTAAGATTTTTTTGCCGGTGCTGAACATTCATTTTTTTACAGTTTGTACAGTTTTCGGATATTTAGATCACTTGGCAAATATTTCCGGATTGAACTTTGGCTTCGACAATAATGTGGTTCTGAACACTGAAGTTTGTGAATAAATGCACGTACTGATGCCTTTTTATCCTTGAATAGGTTGGCTTTACGGTCTCCTCCTCTTTTTTCTCCTGGAAACTCTCCACTGACGAAAGACTTTTGAACCAAATTTGAGACACGTCCTTTTTTCAAGCATAGCGCTGCTAAAAACATCTTCTGACAAACACTAATAGATTGTTTATCGACTTTAATATGGTATTTTATGGTGCACTGTTTGGTTGCTTTTAGGGAAGTCTGATCTCCAGTCGCAGGATCCAATCTTAAGGTCCTTGGTCGTGTTCTCTTAATCGGTACTGCTTGACAGCATTTCAATATGATTGCATCTTGATCCGATTTGACAGGATTC